TTCCTTTACGACCAGGAACAAAGCTGGTTTGACAAGGAGAAATGATGCGGTCCATAAAGGGTTTAATGCGAGCCACCAGGATTTTAGACACAATTTTGTAGGTAGTATTACAAAGACCAATGGGTCTAAACTCCTTGATGGAGACGGGAGAGTTATTTTTTGGAATGAGGGTAATAAGAGTCTCATTCCAAGTAGGGAACATACCCTCAGACATGAAGATATGTTTGATATCAGCACACAACTTATCCTTCGTAACATTCCAAAATTTCTGAAAAAAGAGAGGGTGGAAGCCATCCGGACCTGGGGCCTTGAAAGGTTTGAGGGAATGTAAGGCAGAATATATTTCCAGATCAGTAGGGACACCCACCAAACTGTCAAGAGAGAGAGCAATAGGTCTAATTCCAACTTGAGAGAAGGAGTCAGTATAAGAATGAGAATGAGAGGTCATAAACAAATTAGAGAAGTAGCTAGTGACCATCTCCTGAAGAAGATTAGAATCAAATATCCAATCTCCTCTAGAATCCTTTAGCCCAAGGATCTTATTGCGGGCTCGATGGCGAATGGTAGAAAGATGGAAGAATTTGGTGTTCCGATCACCATCAGTATTCCAATTGGATCTGGACTTCATGAACCACAAATCCTCCTCATGTTTGAGGAGTTTCTCATAATTTTCAGAGAGATCCTTCTCCAAGTGGATAAGAAAAGAGCTGTGGTTGAAAGCAGGGGATTGATGGATACCCTCAAGTCTCCGAAGAATATGTCTTTTCTCCTTAAAGATGTTACCAAAGGTTGCTTTACTCCATTGTTTAACCATGGAGGTAGTAAGAACAATAGAATTTAAGCAGTCACCAAGAGATTGAGACCAAATAGGAGAGATGATATCCCCAAAAGAAGGATGGTCCAACCAGAATTTTTCAAGGCGGAATGGGCTAGACCCCCTATGATCAATATTCGAGTTCAAGCAAAGCATAACAGGGTGGTGATCAGAATTGAAACGCGGGAGGTGGAGTAGAAAGGCTTGAGGAAAGCAAATTCTCCAGTCAGGGTTGGCCCAAGCCCTATCAAGACGTTCTCTAATCAATCCACCATTAAACCTCATATTAACCCAAGTAAATTTTGAGCCAACATAACCCAAATCTTGCATGTTGCAATCATTCATGCAATTCAGGTAAGCACAGACTCTGGTTTGAGAAATAGAGCCACCCCCAAATTTCTCAGATTGATTAACAACATCATTAAAATCTCCGATAATCATCCATGGACTAGATATAACTCTAGACATACTACCCAATTCTTGCCAGAGCTCAGTACGGATTTTAAAAGTAGGTCTACCATAAATACCAGAAAGAAACCAAGAATTAGATGATAAAAGAGGTTGGTTAGTTACCTTAACTACTGCGTGAATGGCTTGAGAGCTAGTTGCAACCACATCAACAAGGACTTCATAATCATTCCAAAGTAGCCAAAGACCACCTGCAAGACCATCAGAGTCAACAATATGAAATTTGGGAAACCCCAATGAGGTAGCTTTAGCCTTAGCTTGGTCTCCCCCAATTTTAGTCTCCACAATCAACATGATGCTGGGGCTATGCAATCTTTTCATATCCATAACACTAGCTTGAAAATTTTGTTTAGCCGTTCCACGGCAGTTCCAAGAAATCATCTTCATAGACCAATTAAGGGGATTCGTTGGCCGTAGCAATTTCTTGGCCATGGGTCGCTAAAGGACTGGAGATGATTGATCCTGTGACTCTATGAGCATGATTGCTCTCGGGAAGTGATACGGAAGGAGTAGAATTTGGAACACTAGGTGGTCCTTCGCCTCCATTGTACAGAACCATTGACAATGCAGATGAATGTTCTCCATTGGACCCATGAATAGAATGGAGTGGATATGTCGAACGTAAGGCAGGGCAGTGAGCTTCATTGGCATAATAGGGGTGATGATCTCCCCGAGTCCGATGTTGTTTTCGATAGACACGAGTTCCTGTATCCTACACTGATCGTTTTGAAATGGCAGCTCGTCGATTTGTGGGGGTAGAAAATGTAGGAGATGCTTCGGGTAACAAAGCTTGTTCACTACTAGTGGGCTCCTCCAAGCTGCAAAGATTCTCGGCTCCGACCATTGCGGTAGTTGCAGAGACAACCCCTGTATCATTTGAGTTCGAGCCTGGTTTAGTGTCATCAATTCCCCATTTGAGACTAAGAAAATTTCCCACAGGCGGATGTGGGTAAAGAATGGTGGGATGTTCATGATCAATATTGTTAAATGGAGGAGTGGTATCGGGAGGGTCAAGAGAGATGGGGATAGGGATAGGAATATCAAGTGAGGAAGTTGAAGCAAGGGATTGGGAAGGTTCCAGATCCCTCGAGGTCTTTGGGTTTGGGATAGATTCTTTAGGTGGGTTACAAGAAATAGGTTGGGTAACCATTACCTCTTGGGCCAAGGGGGCTAAGGTATTGGACTCCTTAGGCTTGTATACCATGGGCTTAATAGGGGAAAACCCCACACTATTGGATGAAGAGACATTTGGAGGTCCTTTGGGTTGTAAAACCGATTTCATAGGTGGTTGCTTGTAATGGGTAACCTGTTTTGAGTTGGTAGGTAGACTGTCAATATTAGCTGTTGAGGAGCGAACAGTATGACCATTAAATGCATCTGACAATTGCCCGTTACTAGGACTTGATTTTGAGTTGGATGGGTCGGGTCTAGCTTTCGGGTTCAGTTTTCGGGTTGGAGGTAAACCCGTCCCTTCTTTTTGGTCCTTCTGATTCCGGGTGCTTACTGGCACCGGCGAGCCCTCCGACTTATCATTGTTAGCCATTCCACGAATATTTCTCCTGGGTTTACGTCGTTCAACCACCATCCATGGCCCATAGTTATCAAAACTGGAACTTTGGAAGGCACTAGACATAAGAATATCTTCAGGGGAGTTATACTGGTTCTTGGTAACGCCTTTGGTACTAGCCTCCTGTTGAGAGTTATCAGTATTAACCTCAAGTTGGGTAGCATTTTGATCATTCGGGTACTGAGAATGGGGAGTTTTATGCTGAGCAGATGGGCACTGAGTTCGTCTATGTCCAATTCTACCACAGGAATAGCAAAGGGCTTCAATGCCTTCATAAACCACCTTATGGAATTTCCTACCAATTCTCACTGTGTGCACAAGCTTCTTGTCAAGATCGACTTGGACACAAACCCTAGCATATTGCCCTCGAGTAAGATGTGCTGTATGGGCATCCACACGTAGCAAAGTTCCAACCTTGTTTCCAATTTTTTGCAAAGTGATTGGATCATAGTGATCAGCAGAAAGATGAGGAAGACGAGCCCAAACCACAGTGGTAGAGAAAGTAGTCATAGTGGGATCAAAATTGGGTTCCGATCGGCGGATTGTAAGATAATAAGGGCCGACGAACCAAGGGCCCCCAAATATCACACGATTGAGGTCTTCTTGTACCTGCAATCGAACAAGGAAGAAATCATTTCCCAGATCAATGAAATCCCACTTACCTGTAGGTTTCCATTGAGCTTTTACTCGAGGATATAGAAAATTGTAGCCAACAGGTTTTGGGGCAAAAGCTTTGATTATCAGAGCATTAGCCCAAGGCTCTCTGATTCGTCGTTTCTCAGCTTTAGATAGTAAAATAACTGGAATATCACTGGTGGGATCCTCATCCACATCAGAATCCTCATCAAGATAATTAGGAATAGTGGCAAATGAAATCCCCTCAGATTTCTCTTCGAGAAGCAATTTGTCCTTATACGACAAGGGTTCCGAACCGTAAACATGGTTTGGAGAAACAGTTAGTTGAGAGGAGATGCGAGCAGTCTCAGCCGGTGCATTTGAGACACCATCGACGTCGCAAATTGCCGGATTTAGAACATTAACATCGTCGCCCATATCCACATCCCATCGACCTGTAGAAGGAAGATCCTCCTTGATTCGCTTGACACTACGAGCCAGGAGGTCATCCTCTTGGGTGTTGGGTGAGGAAAGGGTGAGAGAATCGGGAGCATTTGGAAGGGTCGCCATCATTAAAAAAATAATAATAATAATCCTTTACAATAAAAAAATGTTGTGAAACACTCATAAAAAAAAAACAAATAATAAATAACAAATAACAAATAATAAAAAACAAAAAACCAAAAGAGTTGCGAAACAAATGAAAAAAACGGGGATTTTGGTTTGGTGCTGGAGCATTTAACCTTGTTAGGCTAATCCTCTTTTTTCTCTCTACCAAAGCCAAATCAATCATGGCCCCGTATCAATGGTTTTTTTTTTTAATTAATCTTTCAATATTCGATAATTATATCAAATTTTAATTAATTTAAAATTAAATTACGTCAAATCTTATAAAAGAAAAAATTTTCTAAACATTTATTTTTTTATTCACAATACTCAAATTTAAAATTTTTTTATAAAAAAATTAAACTAATTTCACTCCTATTTGGATTGGATTACCATATCGTTGATCGTTAGTATCAATGTACCAATGTTGGGTTGACTTTCTGCTTCGGGAAAATGCCCCTCATCCCAAACCCAACAGTCGGAGATGAAGTGGCCCTTGCCCCTTTTCTCCCTCCCTGCAAAATTCCTAAAGTCAACGGCCTGTTAGATCCAGAAATTAGAAGGAAGAATCAGAAGAAGAATTCAGTAAGAACAGATCTAAGAAGAAGAAGGACAATCAAGAAGAAGAGATCTGCTTGTATTCATCAATCAACTACTCTTTCAATTACAGAGTCGTCCCTTATATATGGGCAATTACAGATTAAGCTAAGCCTCATCCTCAGCTAATTAACAATTAACAAACTCAACAGACACCTTAACAAACGGAGCATCATTCTTCCAACTCAGCATATACAATTGGGCTGTAACCAAAGAGGTTAATTTTGTACCGTATACGTACCGTTTTTTAATAGATCAAAATAATATAATATTAATTTTTGTTTTGGTCAAAATTTGGTATATCAATCGAATTCATCAAAATTTCGATCAATACACTGGCAAATTAAAAGAAAAAAGGGATTCCTTGACCCAAAATGACGTCGTTTTGGGCTAGAGGCTTCTTGCAATTGTAATTTTCAATACACAAAAATCATCTGTACAACTTAATTTAAATTTAAAAAGAGTAAATTTTATTTTTAGTCTTTAACTTAAATGTTTTATATAATTTTCATACTTTAACTTTTTTATGTATTTTTTTAATTTATTCTTCATTTTTTTAATCCTTCTATCAATTATTTTGTTAAATTTATTTAAATATACACATTTTTAGTTTTTTAATTTAAAATGAATGGAAGAAAAATATGTATATATTAAAAATTGAAGGACTAAAAATGATTATTTTAAACTTGTTTTTAATTTATAGAAATATAATGATTTTAAATATTAATATTTTAATCCCCTAATTTAAAGTGAATAGAAGAAAAAT